GAATACATCCGCCAACAAGGGACACACAGCCCCGCCTTAGGCGTTTTCGTTGAGAGCAAGGCCAACGCTGTGTGACTGAGAAACCTTTGCAAGCCAGTATGAGACACTCTGGGCACCTACCCTAGAATAAAGAGGGAGGGAGTGGAGGTGGATGGTCAAACAAAGTCTGGACTTTAACCTGGGAGTGCAAATCATTTTCTATATGAAAGCAAATAGTGTGCTGGTATATGTGACATGATGTATGTCATGTAATGTTATATAATGTTACTAACAATTGTACTTATTTTAAGCCAAACCATGACCTTTTTTTCTGAACCTAACCACATTCTTTTGTTGTCCAAAGAGGTACACATAACACAAAGTTTTGAAATGGAAATATTCCTCCTTTTCTTGCTTGATATCCGACTTCAGTGTCTGAACAGTCCGAGGTCGACCTTGTCGTATTTTGTGCTTCATCCTGTTCCACACATGTTCAGTGGGAGACAGGTGTGGACTGCAGGCAGGTCAGTCTCAGGTCAGGGACGTCCCTGAAAAAGATGACGTCGTCTGGATGGCAGCATATGTTGCTCCAAAACCTGTATGTGCCTTTCAGCATTCATGGAGCCTTCACTGATGTGAAGTTGGCTTTGAACTTTGAGCTGGTAACAATCTGGATGGTCTTGGAGGACAGGATGTCCATGACGGTCTGGTCACACCGCTTTGTGTCAGTCCATCTCAGATGAGCTCAGACTCAGAGAAGTGGGCGGAGCTGTTTCTGGATGTTGTTGATATCTGGCTTTCACTCTTTATGGTAGAGTCGTTCGTAGATGCAGCGCTGTGTTGACTGAAAAGGTTTTTCAAATTGTTCCTGAGCCCATGTAGTAATATCCAACACTGTCACTCCGACCTTGTTACATATTGACGTTTGGTCATGGACTGTCAACGTTGAGATATGACGTGCCGTCGTTAAAGGTTGCTTTTTTCATTGGTTTCTGACGCTGCAAGTCACTCCCCAAGCGCTGGATTTCGACGACCTTGGAGTGAGACCGGGCCTGTGACAGAGGCATTATGTTTTTAGGTTGTACGGCCATCCGTCTGTACATCCCATTCTTGGCCCATTCTTATCTCAAGAACACTGTGAGGGAATTTCTTCAACTTTGGCACAAATGTTCACTTTGATTCAGCACTGAAATTATTAGTTTTCGGTGGTCAAAGGTCACAGGTCAAGGTCACCGTGACCTTGCATCAATCTCATTCTTGTGAACGCAATTTCTCAAGAACACTGTGAGGGACTTTTTTCAACTTTGGCACAAATGCCCACTTGGACTCAAAGATGAACTGATTGGATTTTGGTGCTCAAAGGTCACCATGACCTGGCATCTGTCTCATTTTCGTGGACACGATATCTCAAGAACACCTTAAGTGAATTTCTTTGTATATGCCACAAACATCCACTTTAACTTGAGACGGCCCCTGCTTGGCTGTGTTGGTTGGTAGTTCATGCTATGTTGATGACGTAATTGGTGACATGATGTGTTGTCTTTTCCCCGAGGTCATCAGCTGATTGTCTGGATCACGAGCACCTGGGCCACACCTGGGTGTGGACAGATATAAGCAGTGCTGGCTGACGCCGCGCTCTCTCTCTCTCCCGACTCTTCGCCAGCGCCTGTACTTTTGTTTGGCTTTTCTGTTTATTTAGGTTATCTCCACAACATCACACCTCACATGCTCCACACATCCACATGTACACTACTGATCACACTGACTAACACACCCCATACCTGCATTATGTTTATTTACGTTGCTTTATTTAAATAAATATACTTTTGTATTTGAGTTTGCGCTGTGTCTCTCTGCTTTTGTCATTGCCTGTGAGCCGGGTTATGACAAACTGAAGACAAAACTTGACACAAGTGTCTAACAGGATAAAATAATGAAGGTCAAAAGGTCAAAGGTCAGCTTGACTGTGACATCATCATGTTTTAACGTCATATCTCAGGAACAGAAGGGGAGACATTTGGTCAGACACTGAACTGGTGACTCTAATCTTGAAACATTAGATATCAAAGGCTCATGGCCGATCTGTATTACTTTCAAAAAGTTAACCTCCTGTAGATCAACTTTTCTCCAAACTTCTCGTGGTGTGGCAGCATCTTTCTTCATGTGGCACGAGCCTTAAACAACCTCCCAGATGATGTCAGACGAACCCCGACTCCGAGCACTTTTAATTCAAAGCTAAAAATGTTCTTTTTAACAGAGCTTGTAACAACTTACTTTTAAACTGGATTTAACTGGATCATCATCAGCATCTCTTAGGCACTTTGGCTATTTTTGAATGGTAACTTTTTATTGTCAATAATTAAGTAATAAATCTTGAAACTGTGCTGATTGTATAGATCTTCAGTGTGTGAAGCATCCATGTTTTCACTGACATGGATGGTGTAACCAATTACACAGCAACTCTACAGCTTTAATTATTGATTTAAAACAGAAATTTGGAGACAGGTTTCAACCTGCTTTGTGTATGACAAATTTCAGTTACACAGGAAAATCATAGTTATCATTATTAAACGGCAGTTTATAGGTGTGGGTACAAGCTTGGAATTTATTAGTTCATCTTTTGGGCAAAGCACGTATGTTCAATGTCCGTCACAACCCTCTCTCCTCTTGCTCCACCCCATCAGTTATTATCTGTGCATCCTACTTTATCACTGTGCAGAGCACAGGCACTGAGACACGCTTCTTCCTGGTAACAAACAACACTGCCCACTCAACTCACCTGTGGCCAGTCTCGTCTTATTTCTTTGGAAAGTAGACGTGTCCACATTCCACACAGTTGGTCATACCTCACTGATCGCTGGACGGTTTATGTCACATTAACAGGACGAGTGGGACCCCGACCACAGCAGATGGTGAGAACTGGAGAACTTTCATGTAGAATTTTAAATGTCATCACTTTTTCTTTTAATGTTAACTTTAAATAAAACAGTGTCTTCCTCCTGATGGTGATTCAACAGCCACCATCAGAATTTGGAGAAATCACATTTTGAAGCTCTTTTTATGAGACGTGAAGCTGAACTGTTTGAAATTTAACCTTTGCCATTTTTTTTAATGATTCATGACTAAATGAATAAAATAAATAAATAAAACTTATTCACTGTAAACTTGCCTTGCTGAATATTTATTTGTTGATAGGTTATTTTACTTTACTATTTATTTGTAGATTTTATCTTACTTCTTATTCCTGAACTCGTTTACTTTTTTAATTTTGACCTGGAGTGTCGTGAAAGGCGCCTATAAATAAATTGTATTACTATTATTAATAGATTATGAGACCGGTCACTCTCTGCTGTTTATTTGTCTCTCTTTGTTTCTTTCTTTGAAGGAAATGTTAAATTTGTAGGAAGACTTTTGCGTTCTGTTTCAAACATGAGACATGTTTTTCACTGTCACCACTCACAATAAATAATAATAATAATAAATATATAATATATGTGAAATGTATTATATATAAATGTAAGCAGTTGACACATATAAGTAAGTATTATGTGTAAATATTGTGACGGCCATGGCCGTGTTTTGTGTTCCTGTCTGGCTGGCTGTTTGCTGTCTTTTACAGGTGCTGGGCTTGGGCTGGTTTCACTGCTGCTTTGCAAGGCCCTCTGCTAGTATGCTGATCTCCTGTTCATTTACCTTCCTGGTTACAGGGAAGCTCTACCTCTGCATGTTGGGAGGCTCCACCTCTCTCTGAGATTGCTGGCTGGCTACACCTGTGAGGAAGTCTATAAAAGCAGGCTTCCTCAGTTCATGCTCTCTCTTACCTGGACAGCCCAGATCCTGCCAGTTTCTGTTTGGTTTGGTTATTTTGTTTTGTACACATACACCCACACACACACACACACACACACACACACACACACACACACACACACACACACACCCACACACATGGCTTTCATTGCACCCAACATTTCCGTCTCATACTGATTATTGACTCAACATTGCATACCTTTTTTTTATTGTTGTTGTAATTAGTTGTTATAATTTCAAGTAAAATCATTGTTTAAAACTTAAGTTTTCTGTGTGGCCCTCCCTTCTTTGTTGTGGCCTAAACGAGCGGGTCATAACAATATATAAAGTAAAATTAAAGATAAAAGAAATGACATTTAAACAGCAGAGAGTGACCAGTCTGTGTTCTCCTAATGTCATCATTAATGTTTACATAAATGCAAAATTAAATCTAAAACAGTTTGTCCTCACGTTTCATATTAAGAGCTTCAAAATGTGTTTTTTTTTTTTAAAAATTGCTGTTGTGCAACATCAGGAGGATGTAAGTCATTTTATTTTCAAATTTAACATTCTATCTATCTATCTGTCTATCTATTGGAAACACGATCAATATTTTGCACTTCAGTTTAGTTCAGATTGAAACTTCAGGTAACGTCAGGTNGGGCTAGCTCAGAGACTAGCGGAGGCTAACTGGCTGTGCTTCCCTCCGGACATGCTGCGGCTAACGCTCCGCTAGTCGCTCCCAGCTAGCTCCGGTTTGTTATTCAGGTTAAAGTGTGAAGAAGCAGCGGGTCTGTGGGGCAGCTGAGTGAAGTGGAGCCTGAGGAGGAAGCACCGGTTAGCCCCGGTTTCACTACAGGCAGATTCACCCGCTACAGGGGCGAGGAAATAAAACCTGAACAGCCAATCAGAGTGATCTCTCTCACCGACAAGCTCCGCCGCTGATTCAGCATGCTCAATTGGCTGAAAAGCCGCCGACGCCAAAGTGCCGACGGTGCGGGACACACCGCAAAAACTAGACCCGACTTTGACATTGGACATTTTAATTTCTTTTCACCCTGAGTCTTATTGTCATTTATCAATAAATTATAGTACACTTTCACACTGATTTTAATTCATCATTATTCCTCCTTTGTTTACCCAGTTTGCTCTTCACCTGATCAAAAGAATCCTTTTCATCCAAAGCATTTTCACCCCTTCATCAACCTCCCCCGCACAAGTGTATCAGCCTAGAGGGAACAAAACAACATAAACTGAATAAGTCTGAATGACAGAAATTCTGTGCAAGCCTTTAGGCAGTGTTGGGCATTGTAATTATTCTGAAGTGATAAAACGACAAAGAGGACGACAGACTTGTGTTCCTTCAGGACTTCCATATTTTCCCCGCCCCTCCAGGTCAAAACCCCCGAGTCAACATCCTCCGCCGGCTCCATGCACCTGTCCTAGCGGCTCAGTGCTTCTCAAAGATCACATCCCTAAGGATCAGTACGAGGAGCTGGTGAAACGCAGAGCTAAGGAACTCCAAAATCACAAAGCCAGGTATGGGATGGATGGACTGATTAATGAAAGAAGCTTTTACTTAAGAAGAGATGTTAAAGATATCAAGATATCTCCACGTTACTGCCTTATAGTACAAAATAATGTCTTTTTGTTGCTGTTCCATCACTGCTGCTCATCAGAGGTACCGCAACCTTAAAGCATATCTTGTCAGGCTGTAAAGTTAGCTTGTCACAAGGCCGATATACATGGTGACATAACCAGGTGTTGAAATGTTTAGCTGCAGGCGTCGAAGGGAAACGAACACAGGTGAATTCAGAGGGTTTTAATAGCAGTTTAGCAATACAGTTTGTCCGTGAGGGAGAGAAATACAGAAGGGAGGCGAGGGCGTGGCCGCCTAGAAGGTGCTTGTGATTGGGAAATGCAAGTAGATTTAGGGGGAAAGCTTGTTGTTCCTCAGGAAATAGTTTGTACCAGGCAGAGGCCTGACTTAGTGTTGTGGTCAGTGAGTCAACGGATAGTTTATTTCATTGAGCTGACAGTTCCTTGGGAAGACTCAGTGGAAGAAGCCTATGAAAATATATAAGCTGGTCAAATAACTCACATTGTATATCAACAGGTAACTGTAATCTAGTAACTCTGTTTTCCAAGGAGAATAAAGCTCTTTTAGCTAGTTTATCTTGCTTAGCTATTGCTTTATCAAATTGTCCATTATAATTAAATAACGTTCCAAGATAGTCATACTCAAAATTAACTTCTAATTTATCTGAACCAAACTTAAATTCTGGGAGTATCTGTAATTTTCCCCTAGAGAAAATAACAACCTTTGTTTTGTCTACTAGTCTCTGCCAGTACAATCGTATCAGGACATATCATTACAAATATATCCCTATTTCACCATTCATCACATTGCAGCATTCAGTTGAGAAAAGGTGACTCACATATTTTTCAAAGTCATTTAAATATAGTGCAAACAATAGCGGTGATAAGTTATCCCCCTGAACCACTCCTACATTACATACAAATTGTTCAGATGAATCATAACCAGCTCTAACACAAGATTTAGCATTCTCATAAATATTATGCATCACATTTAATACCCTTCCATTTATACCAAGTGACACTAATTTAAGCCATAATGATGACCTATCTACCAAATCAAACGCTTTTTTATAATCAACAAAAGCACAATACAGTCTTTCTTTCTTATGCAGGTACCATTCAACCAGTGAGTGAAGAACAAAAATATGGTCAAGGGTTGAAAAGCCTTTCCTAAATCCTGCCTGCTCTTCTCCAATATTTCTTTCAGACTCTATATAAGCAGTTAGTCTGTAATTTATTACAGCCGTAAAAAGCTTACCAATACAACTAAGTAAAGTTATACCTCTGTAATTTTCAGGATTTTCTACTGGTCCCTTGTTTTTGTATAATGGTTTTATCACTCCTAAACACCAGTCAGTGGGGACTATACCTGTTATCAGTACCAGATTAAAGAATTTAACAATAATGTTCAGCATTTCCAAAGAGCAGTTCTTTATATATTCATTTATAACTTCATCGATACCATTTGCTTTTTTATTTGTTAATTTTTTTTACCACTCGCTGTATTTCTTCCAAAGTAAACAAGTCATTTAAGCATTCATTTGTAGGAGAGGTGACTTGTCTGAGGTCAGATTGTTGGTCTCCTGGTGAACAATTATCACTCGATTTTTGGCTGAGTTTCTTAAAATATTCAGCAAAGGTTTCTATAGATACATTTCCTAATCTTCCAGATGGTTTACCTGCATTTAGAATAGACCAATATTCATTACTATTAGATTTCTTAAGTGTACAAAGTTTCCTATGTAAAGAATCATAGTACTGCCTTGAACATTTCCTTATGATGGATTTATACTTTCTAGCTATACATTTTATTCCAACTTCAGATTGGACAGAGCTGTTAAATTTGAATATATTCATGGATTTAAAATATTTCCTACGAGCCTCAACACATTCAGCATTAAACCAGGGTCCTGACCATATGCCTTATAAACCCAAACTTTTAGCAGGATCTACCATTTACATCTGGATACCGGCACCCCCACCCTCCCTGTCTCCTCAACAGGACGACGTCTGTGTTATCCAGACTGCTGTTTGCATTGCCTAACTCTCCTCTGCAGTATCCGATCCAGGGTTTTACAGTACGGCCTTTGACCTCCAGTCTCATACCAGGTAAGCCTCACTCTGTATTCTGCTCACAGAGCATTTTTCTATCTTTTCATCTGTTTGAAGTTTGTACGTCACCCAACAATAACACAGTAGTAAGTTGGAGTTGGTTGGGTTCATCGGAGTCAGTGAAACACTGTGAAAAATAATGCTCTCAGTCTTACGATGTCAGTTACTGTTAGTTTTGCTTCGATAGCGCGACACTCATTAACTAACCAGTTAATTATAAAAAATACTAGTAAGTAAGTAAGTAAGTAGAGTTTATTTATTTAGCACCTTTCACAGATACTAGATCACAAAGTGCTTTCCAGTAGACAAAACAAGTACAACAATATAACACAACATTAAAAACAAAGCACAAAACAAAGCATTAAAAACAAAGCAAGGCAAAAGACAAGGTGTCTGCAAAGTGCAAAATGTAAATAAAACATTAGATAAAAGAAAAATAGTAAGAGATTGATGGGGTTAAAGGAGTTAGTTAACCAAAGGCCTGGCTAAATAGCAGTGTTTTCAGTTGTTTTTTAAAAGTGTCACATGATGCTGTGGATTGCAACGAAAAGGGGAGGGCTTTCCAATGTTTGGGAGCAACCTCTTGTAATGCTCGGTCTCCACGAGTGACGAAACGAGTACTTGTAACTGACAGTAGGAGCTGATCCGAGGATTTTAGAGTGCGACAAGGAGTGTAAGGTTGAAGGAGGTCTGTGATGTATGCAGGGGCTAGACCATGTAGGGCTTTAAAAGTCAGGAGCAATATTTTAAAGTTGATTCTGAATTCTACTGGAAGCCAGTGTAAGGAGGACAGGATTGGAGTGATATGAGCCCTCTTATTGCTACGGGTTAAAAGCCTAGCAGCAGCATTTTGGATAGTTTGGAGACTGGCCATTGATGATTTATTCAAACAGGTAAAAAGTGCATTGGCATAGTCTAAGCGAGAGCTATTAAAAGCATGAATGATCATTTCCAATTCAGCTTTGGACACAACTGACCTTAATTTGGCTATGTTCCTAAGTTGTGAGAAACAAGATCGGGTGAGTAGGCTGACGTGATTATCAAATGATAGGGCTTGGTCGAATATGACACCTAAATTACGAAGTTTGCGTTGGACACAATTGGTTAAAAACCCGATACAAGACTTGAGGCCTTTGCTTTTAGTCTGGAGCTCCATAAAAGGAATGAGTCCTAAAACCTGGGAATGAGTTCGCATTTTGCCACTCTGGGTTCCCTCGTCTCAAAGTCAGTTTGTTTTTGGTTTCACGCTTTTAAGCTTTCATGTGTCTTCAGACAGGCGACTGCTAACAAGTGGCCAAATGAGACTACAGAATGTCATCACGCCAAACAGAGCTTTACAGCTGTGCTGTGGGAGCGACATTTAGCTTGGTTTAGTTTGTTTAATTCAATTCAATTCAGTTTTATTTATAAAGCCCAATATCACAAATCATATTTTGAAGCCCTTTTTAAACAGGAGTTGTGCAAATTTGCAGTAAAGCCCAATCAGTGTTTTTTCAGCATTGGCAGTATAAAAACAAAATCGGGGAGTGCAGCAAAATGCCGCCTACCTACTTTTGTTTATACAGAATGTGCCTTTTTCGGGGCAATGGGGGGCGTGAGCAAGTAACAAAACGTGTAGCTCAGCGTGTGACGTAAACAGTGACGTGGGAGGGAAGCCGCGGCTGGTCAGTCCTTCGGTGATTCTCTCATAAGTCGGCCCGTTCTTCACCGTCCCCGTCATCTGACGGTTAATGGCCTCTTCGTTTGCGAGGACAAGGAGGGCGCGCAATTCCTTGTCTTCCCAGTTGCTCATCTTTACAGTGTCTGTCAGGTTTGTGTTTCCCTCTTGCTACTAGCTGCTCGCTAATTCCTGCTATCAGCTGTTTCCTGTTTATTCACCGCCAGTGGCTCGCATGTGCGGCGTCATCAACAGCTCCTCCCACAAGTCATCAACAGCTCCTCCCACAAGTCATCAACAGCCCCTCCCGTGGCTGAAGGCTGCCTTGGTCTTTTTTAAACTAAAAGGGTTCCACCAATATGTCTACCCTACGAGGCGGAAAATTGGGCACCTCGGATCAACTCGCCAATCCGGCTCTGTGTGTCTAAACGCTCGCAGCTTGCCGGCAAAACGGCCCAACATTCGCCAAAAATCTGGCAGTGTAAAAGGGGCTAGAGTTAGCGAGCACTGGGGCTGATTCAGTGATTACAGCTGGTAACACCGTCTCGGTGGCGGCACAGTGTTGCTATGGAAACATGGTGGCCACCCTCCGGAGTCCCCCCAGGTAGCCCCGGTGAGCGAGCGGCTTCATTTTTAGCCTTAAAAGCCCTTTAGCATTGTTAGCTATGTTAGCACAACTGTGCTAACATAGCTAACAATGCTAAAGGGCTTTGCGGGTCAAAATTTACTCACTGGGGAAACCTGGGGGGAGATCAGAGGGTGGGCACAATGTCTCCACGGCAACACTGTTTGGTCGGGACGGCTTTACTAGCAGTATTTGGCAAAAGAGTGATGTCTCATCCTCAGCTGTAGAAGTGAACTGTCTTAATGTCATCATAAAACAAAAAGCATAACTCACAAACTCTCCACAAAGATTTTCATGGGTGTCTCTGTTTATTGAGTCATAAACGACACCAGAGAGCACATAAGACAATATAAAAGCTGTGTTTCAGAGACAGGAAGCTGGATGGAAATTTTCAGTTGTTTAACAGAAGGAAGTTAAATGTTGTTGAAGTCAGTAAATCCAGAGATTAATGTGTGTCTTCCTGTAAAAGTATAAAAGCATGAGCTCATTTTGGTTTCAGGTTTATCTCTGCATGCAGAACACAGAAGCAGCTACAAGGTTGGTGCTATCTCACAGATCATTCTCACACAGATCACATGGGTGCAGTGATGGCATCTGGCTGGTTGATACTGATGGCTGCTGAACTGTTTGAAAATACATGATATAATATATTAAACATATAAAAAATACTGATCTATTTGAACCCCGATCAACATCATCCTCACTGTGACCTCGTCACATGTCCACGTTTGGTCATGGACTTTCCACGTCCACATATGACGTCCAATGTACCCTGGGTGTGTTGGTTGTTGATGTTCTGGGACGCCGTGTCAACTTCAGCCTGTTACATGCATTGTCTGTTTTCAAAATACACTTCTTCCTGATGCCGCTGGGCACTGTTAACTATAACTGCAACCAGTGGCGTATCATGCTGACGAAAAAAAAGCTGGTTTTTGACAACTTGAGAGTGAGATCAGGTTGCACTGAAACTTTGGAGTTCAGGTTTGATGTTGAAAGCCAATTAGTGGGTTTTATTTTGACTTTGACAAGTTTTAATTTTTTTGTTTCATACCAAAAATATTTTAATAATTGTATAGTTGCCATACGTCAGGCAAACACGTGATTTGTCTATAGTCCAAATTGAAAGAGGATGAATACCATAGCACAACATGACTATGCATGTAGTCAACCTTGGCTTGGTCACACCAGCAATTTAAGCAACAAAATTTCGCATGTAATCCTGGCTCCGCCCACATCCAGTACGTCAAACTTGATCATTCAGGACAAGTGGGAACATCGGATCCTTGCCAATGTATTATGTCTCTAACTTGCTGCATTTATGATGCCTGCAAACTGTTGGATTCCGTCCTAGCACACAATTACTATTCATTTAGAAAAACCTGCACATTAACTATGTGGAATCCCTAAACAGTATTGTGGATGGGGTTCAACGTCCAACGCCGCCTTCCTGATCCTTTCAAATTTCTAGCATGCACACTATCCAAGAGAGCTTTTATCTGCCTCTTCAGATAAACTTTATATTGAGTAAAATGACGTGCAGTAAAGTTTGATGATGTCTACTGATCTGGCATATGACAAAGTCCACCATGAACACTGTGATAGACGATGGGACCATTGCATCAATCACTGCCCAAACCAACAAACTGCCAACTTTATGCATTACATTGCTGCAGGATTAAGACACGGACAGAGCACCTTGATGTGTGTGTGTGTGTGTGTGTGTGTGTGTGTGTGTGTGTTTGTGAGAGTGTAACAGAAGTTGTAAGGTGAACCAAAGCACGCAGACTTGGTGTATAATGTATTAATAACTTGCTCAGAATGCTGCTTTGTCACCTTTTGACCTGCCTGCCTGAACCTGTGATATTTATACACCAAGGAGTCCTCCACCCCTACAACCACATAGATGGTTTGTTCCTACCCTCTAATATGACCCAGGGGAGTGTTACTAAATTAGCACTCCACCGATGAATGACAGAGGTCATGTATGACCATAAAGATGGCAGTTTTATGTTTGTGGTTAATGTTGTGAAATGGTCTCAGTTGCACCAAAACGATATGGTTAGGTTTAGGCAACAAAGGTAGAGAAAAAGGATCAGGGTTTAGCTTACAGTAAGTATGTCTGTTACAAATGTAATGTACATACATGACGAGGTGCCCTTGAGCAAGGCACCGCACTCCCCAACCGCTCGAGGCGCCTGTCCATGGGCAGCCCCCTCACTCTGACATCTCTCCATTTAATGCATGTAAAGGTCTTGTTTGTGCATGTGTGTGTATGACAATGGAGTGAAAACACTGAATTTCCCCCTTGAGGATTAATAAAGTATATCTGTTTGAAAAAAAAAAACATATTTTGTGAGGTCACAGTGACCTTGACCAAGTCCAAGTCCTTCCTTTCTCTGATTCTCTGAAATGATTTTGTGGCAGTGGTGTGGGGGTGACCTTCTCTCAGCTTGAAGTTTTCTTGGAAGCAACGACATCATGTTAACTATTACCTCTGGTACTTCAGGAAGTATTCACATCTGATCATTAACACATCAGTGAACACACTGTGCTTAGAGAAAATGACTAAACATTAATACAGAGGGATGTGCAGCTATGTGTACTTTAGGAGCTCCGTAGTTTACTTAGGTGTGTCTACTCCAGGTGTCCTTGAGTGTGTCCAAAGGCGTCCTGACCACGGAGATTCCAACTGAAGGAGTGAAGGTCCAAGGTGAGATTACAGTACACACTGTAGACGCCAGTCCATCCATGACACAACATTTTAATGTTAAGTCTACATAGATGCCCTGTTTAAAAATGTCACAATGACATGAAAACTTTCAAATTAAAACTCAGCTTGAGTGATTATCATATGTGCGCCGCATGGCCATGGACCGCCCACTTTGCCAAACCTGTCATGCATGAGACGACAGACTATTGAAGTAAGGAAACACACCTTTAAAGCCAGTTTTCATAGTGGCCAAACAGTGTTACTGCAATTTCTGGCCCCAAAAAGACTTTTCCCAGTGACCTATATTGGGGTAAGAGACATCTGTAAATCAAAGGATGAATTTTCTTTTGATGTCACCCCTGTGAAATGATTCATTCCCGTATCAGGATTTAATCCATCTGGTCTGATAACACCCTCACTTGTGAACAAGACCCTGACATACTTGAACTCCCTCGCTTGAGGCAGTAACTCTCCCCCAACCCAGAGAGGACAATCCACCGGCTTCCAACAGAGGACCATGGCCTCAGACTTGGAGGTGCTGACTCTCTGTCGGAAACCGGTGGATTGCCCTCTCCGGGTTGGGGGAGAGTGACTGCCTCGTGAGATGGATCGGCGGGTCGTGCAGCTTCTGCAGTGATGTGGACGCTGCGCCGGTCTGTTATGGTGAAGAGGGAGCTGAGCCAGAAAGCAAAGCTTTCAATTCACTGGTCCATCTCCGTCCCAACCCTCACCTATGGTCTTGAGCTCTGGGTAGTGACTGAAAGAATGAGGTCACAGATACAAGCGTCTGAAATGAGTTTCCTCTGTAGGGTGTCTGGGCTCAGCCTTAGAGATAGGGGGAGGAGTCAGACATCTGGAGGGAGCTCGGAGTAGAGCCGCTGCTCCTTCATGTTGAGGTGGTTTGGGCATCTGAATAGAATGCCTCCTGGGCGCCTCCTGTTAGAGGTGTTCTGGGCACATCCCACTGGTAGGATGATTGGGAAGCAGCACCGATCATCCAGGAAATCTCCCACCATGGAAATAGAGCCACTCAGCAACTTTCATAGGGATAAATGAGGCCCTGCTGCTAACGCTGTATTTAGGTCTCTTAGGACATCCATGGCCGACTCTTGGCTTACAGTACATGTTTTAACGTTAAACTATATATAGAGTCTTTTACTGTTAGCTAACTGTATGAGGTTTTTTGGTGGGCGGGACTTAGCAATCCTCCACAGACATTAGCTAGCACATTGTGTTGTCTTGTTTTAGACGATGGAGGAAGATGATGTGAGTGGTGCGTTCAGAAACACTCATTGTGAGTGTGGGAGCGCACTCTGACACAAACTGGAGCGTTGATAAATTGGGAGCGCTGTCTGAATGTAGCGTTGGGTTATCCAGAGCAGCGCACTCTCAGAGTGGCAGAGCGCACTCTGGACACTCTGTCTGTGGAGACGGAGCAGCAGAGCGCCGAGCGGAGTGAATGTGTGATTAACTTAACCGTTGGTTCATTCATGTAGAAATACATGGGCTTGGACAGAAACTGTGCGTCTTCACGCCGGGTCGGGACTTAGTTTTTGGGCCTGCTCAGAGCTCTCCTTCACAGGTTGTAGTTATTAAATAGCGATGGCTAGGTCTGATTTGGTCAGTCAACCAAGCAAACAGCAGCGGACAAGACTTGATGTTGTGTCCTTAATACAGCAGCTGACTTTTTTTGCAAATCATGCTGCAGTGTTTTAGATATTATTATTTCAAAAAGAAAACACCAGGGTTGGACAGACTAGACACAATGACGTGCAGAGTAGGAACCTCTGAGAAGTCAGATTTTACTTTTTGTGTCAGGGGCTGAATTAGAGCGCACTGACAGCTGATGGATTTTAAAGATAAGACAGACAGTCTGTAACTCCAACACAGTGGTTATTTCACCTGTGCCTCATAAGACTACTCCAGTTAATTTGGCACTTTTTCACCCATTAAATTATGCTACTTTGACAGACATAGTTAGAAACCTTAGGTCCACTACCTGCTGCCTTGACACTCTGCCTACAAGCTTTTTTAAAGATGTTTTTAACTGCATAGCATCAGATATACTACAGATAGTCAACTGTTCTCTTCAGTCAGGCCTTTTTCCAACGGCCCTGAAGACCGCAGTCATTAAACCTCTCTTAAAAGCCTAATCTGGATGCCTCAGTAATAAATAACTACAGGCCCATATCAAACCTACCATTTTTAGGAAAGATCATTGAAAAGGTTGTTTTTCAGCAACTTAACACCTTCTTGGAGCAAAACAATTCCTTTGATGCCTTTCAGTCTGGATTTCGAGCACATCACAGCACTGAGACTGCACTTGTAAAAGTTTTAAATGACATTCATCTGAGCAGTGATGCATCAAAGATTTCGGTTCTGGTATTACTGGACCTCAGTGCTGCATTCGACACAGTTGACCATAACATACTGCTCGACAGACTAGAAAAGTTTGTGGGACTTTCTGGCACTGTGCTAAATTGGTTTAAATCTTATTTACAAGACAGGGAATTCTTTGTGTCACTTGGCAATTATGAATCTGTGCGAACAAAGATTACATGTGGAGTTCCTCAAGGGTCCATTCTTGGGCCTCTTCTGTTCAATATCTATATGCTCCCTCTTGCTCAGATTATGGAATATCATAACATCTCCTACCATACTTATGCAGATGACACACAACTTTACATAACAGTGTCACCAGATGACTACAGTCCCCTACATCTGCTAAATAAGTGCATTGATGAAATCAATACGTGGATGTGCCAGAATTTTCTACAACTAAACACAGAAAAAACTGAGATAGTTGTTTTTGGCCCCAAAGAACAAAGATCAATAGTCAGTGCTCACCTTGACGCCATGACACTAAAACCTACAAATCAAGCCAGAAATATTGGTGTAGTTCTGGACTCAGACCTAAATTTCAGTAGTCACATTAAGACAATTACTAAATCAGCCTACTACCACCTTGAAAACATAGCAGGAATAAAAGAATTTCTGTCTAAACAAGATACAGAAAAACTTGTTCATGCTTTCATTTTCAGCAGGCTGGACTATTGTAACAGTTGTCTTCACAGGCCTGAGTAAAAAATCAATCAGACAACTGCAGCTCGTCCAGAACGCTGCTGCCAGAGTCCTCACCAACACCAAGAGAGTGGAGCACATCACACCAGTGCTTAAATCACTGCACTGGCTTCCTGTGTGTCAAAGGATAGACTTTAAAATCTTGTTACTTGTCTATAAAGCACTAAATGGTCTCGGGCCTAAATACATCTCTGATATACTTGTACGTTATGAAGCATCCAGACCCCTCAGATCATCTGGAACAGGTTTACTCAGTGTTCCCAGGATCAAAACCAAACAAGGTGAAGCAGCCTTTAGTTTCTATGCTCCCCTCCTGTGGAACAAACTTCCAGAATATCTGAGGTCGGCTGAAACTGTCAACTCATTTAAATCAGGGCTTAAAACATCACTATTTACTGCAGTTTACCAGTGAACTAGATATGTAACTTATTGTTAGGATAATCTGTAGCTATTGTTTTTATATTTTTCTGCTGTTGCTTTTGCTTTATGTTTGCTTTTTAAATGCATTTTCTGCACTGTTTTTCTTGCTTTTAGCTTTTGTTTTTAATGATCTATTGTTCCTTTAATGTTTTATCTTAACGTATTTCTCTTGTAAAGCACATTGAATTGCCTTGTGTATGAATGGTGCTATATAAATAAAATTGCCTTGCCTTGCCTTGGTGTTTGGGCGTTATGAAAAGGTCGAAGCCGCTGGCTGGATGTGGGCGGGGCAGCCTCCTACCATTGGGTGCTCTGCAGGTGTCAGGTGGGGGAGTTTTAGATATTTTATATTTTATATTAATATATTTTTTATACCACCCAAGCAGCCATTGGTTTTGATTCATTTGCATGCCATAATCAAATTGAGTCCGTCGCAGTGAATGTTGTGTCCTTAAATCTGTGTCAAAGTTTCGACTATTATGATCGTCAGGAAACTCAACTTGCATCGCCATGTTTCTCTTTCTCTCTTTAAATTTTATCTTGCTTTTTGTTTATTACCTTTTATCATCTCTTTATGTCACAAACATTTGTCTCAGTTATTTACTTATTATCTGTCTCATCAGCTTCAGAATCAGTTTGACTGATAATGATAAATCACCCCAGAAGAAACTTCACTAATCTGAAAGTATGGTTATTATACAAAAAGTACATTACATATGACATCATGCACTGTAAAATGTAACACAGTAATACACACTTATATAATTTACTAAAACTTCTTTTGTCTCCATGAATATAATACAAATAATATAACTAATGATAATATAATAAGATAAATAATATAAAATTAACTCTTTTTTTAATGTTGTGTCAAAAAACTACTGACAGGTGATGGTGAGAGCAGACTGATTTTGGAATCGAGCAGCCTGCTGATCCTGAATGACCTGCTGGCCAACGTGTCCTACACCAGCACTGTCTACCACGTGCACACCGGAGACCTCGGTACGCTTCTGACAAACTGGACCTGAGCTAGAAAACAGATGCTGTGTCTCAAACCGGATACTTTAGTTGGTACACTCGCATGCTGCGTACTTTGTCTCTGTACTCTCATAGAGTGGGTCGTATAACATCCTATGAATTTGCACCTCATGGATGACGTCACGTTACATCCTTACATTACTGCGGTTAAGTTTAGGAAAAGAAAAATGGTGAGGACGAACCTTAAAATGACTCAGAGTTCACACAGATCTGAACACGTGACTCCAGGGAAAAGTCCTGGGTGAAAGTCCAGTTTTTTATGACACATCCACCACCCCGACCTGCCTCCTCACAAGCACTCAGGACTGCTTCCTTGTTTAGCGCCATCACCCCATTGGTCACATGATTGCGGCTTTTCAAAATACATTGGATATGTACAAATCATTTTGTAGGAAAACATACGAAGAACAGCCCAAAGCACTCTGGGTGGGTTCACGCCGTCAGTGTACGTGCACATATTTGTTTTTGTTACCTTTTGTCTTCAGCTCTCAGCAACAAACAGACCAGGTCAAGAAAAAGTTAAAGGAAAGCGTTTTATTTCTCTGCAGGGATCCTTTCCATCATGTTGTCAGACACTTAGAATAACAGTCTGAGCCTGATAGTGACAAAAAACAAACACTTAGTGGACGTACATTGGCAGGGCATATTACCCCAAAGATTACTCAGTAGTTTACGTCGTGGCTACAGGTCCGAACGTGAGGTAATTCCATGTTTTTGTGACCTATCCACCACCCCAACCTTTCTCCTTACAAGCGCTGGGGACTGCCTCCATACTGCCGACAACCGAGCGGAGTTCAGTTGCAATTCGTAGCATGTGAGTGTACTAAGTACTTCAGTCAAATGTTGTTTTATTTAACATCAGTCACCAAAATATCTTCTTGTTTCCTCACTTGTCTTCGTCTGTATTTATTCATTGTATTAAAATGAACATGCTCTCATGGCACAGTATGATTGTCCCTGGCTGATAGCGTCTGGCTCTTTCATCAGCTGATCTACTGAGTTCATGATAGCTGCCGCATGTAGCGAATGTTCACAACTTGTCAAGCATCTGATCACAGATCTGACACTAAAATCTTCTACAGTGAAGACAGTTAAACATAAACACCAAACATAACCAACGTTACGCCCCTGGACCGTGTAGTTTATGCTACAACTCATGTAATGTCAATGTCATATGATAAAATGTGCCACTATTAGCTGGGAACAGCCCATTGGTTCGACAGCCCATTGTTCCGACCATATTAAACTCATTGTTCCGAAGTCCGTTCCGAAATCATCATGATGCCCTGTGGTTAAGGTCTGGTTAGGTTTAGGCACAAAAACCACTTGGTTAGGGTCAGGAAAAGATCATGGTGTGGGTTAAAATGAAAAAGAAAGTGACAAACTCATAAGCCGTGAGCCTGCTCCGCCTCAAGCCGGTCGCTGCGCACCATACGCCCGCTGCGAGCCGTTCAGCACCGCGGACAGTCGGACTAATGGGATGTCGAACCAATGACATGGACCCTATTAGCTAGCTCACAAGCTAATGTTAGCATTCACGTTTTCATTTTCGGTACCAAATTATTACAGAATTAACCCAATAAACAAACTGATGACTTCTAACTGACAACAGTAAAGTGGTAGTGAAAAATACACATTTGTACAATGCTCGGATGTTTGTTGGTGAAATCGTGACCAGTGAGCGTGAGAAGTGTCCAACGTTCCAAACTCAACTTTTTGACCGTTAAGTGCAGTTGTCTGTGTTTTGAAGAGGTATATCTGTGTGTTTCTGTGTGTGTAATGCATTTGTGTTGAAACTGTTTGTGTAGTTTGTGGATTGTTCTTTGATTCAATGAATTCTTGTTTCCAAAATGTCATCAGTGTATTCACCAGTAAGACAAAGCTTAGCTGTCCTTCTCTCTGCTTAGCGTCCTTCCAGTTTGAGAACCATGAAGCCGTGTTTCCCATCACCATCAAACAGCTTCACCTGCCGGTCCTCTACGACATGGGAACAGGTAGGAGTGCAGTCGGCGGGGTGGGGATTAAAAATCAACAGGTTTCTGCAGGTCGAACCAATCGAGCACAATTCATTCTGCATTGTGTCTGATCATCGTATCTCCTCTCTGTAAGTACAGTAATCCTTTGCACACTTCTCTGACTGCCAGATATCAGCTCTCACGTCACCATCGCCACGAAGACATTCCTTCGCTACCCACAGCTCAAGGTGTTGTTGAGTAGCATCCGGCGTTTCTATGGCAACATAGAAGTCGTCATTGCAGATGACAGCTTTGAACCCGAGCACATTCCTGGAGAACACATCCGACAGTACTTCATGCCTCCAGCACAGGTACACACACACACACACACACACACACACACACACACACACATATAAAAATCTCCAAATATTGACTGTTAATGTGACATGTTGGTCTAAAGAGTCTTTCATGTGTTAATTAATTTATGTATCGAACTATAATTTAATTTGTTGTATTAAAACCAAGTTCATGTCTGAGTCTAAATTTAAAATATGGATTTTAAGTATGAACCAAACTGATATCAGTTGATTAGCAATTGTGTAGTTGCTACAGCATTCAGTGAATGTAGAGTCTGTAGGCAAACCCCGGAGATCTTGCCTCTGGAAGAAGAGCGGAAGAGCCCTGGTTTCCGGTTGTAGGCTGTTTGTAGTCCACGTGACAATTGACCAATCACGTTTGAGCCGGCTGCAGTTGTCGCCAGGTTAAACGGTCCGTGCGGTGAACTAACGAGGCGGAACATAATTGGCGTCACTGCAAACTCTGAATCCATCACAATGCTTCAGCATATTTACTTATATATAAACGGACGTCGGAAACAGAAATTCGCCTCCTCCGCCCAAATCAAACCGGAATGCCAAAAAATCAGGGGTTTGCCCCCAGAGGCTGTATCACCGTCTGCCGGAAGTCAGACGCTGAATACAGCCGATGGGCTCCAAGAATGGCAATTGTGTAATGTGTAATGTGTAACTAACACAGACAGTGACACATCCTTCATGGTGTTATTCAGACACATTAACCAATAACAAACCAAACATGCCTGTATGTTAACTCCCGCCCCTGGCCAGTCATAGTGTAGCATCGACCAGCTCCAACAATGGTCCAACAGCAACACAGCTGTGCTCCACTGACTCAAATACAATCATTCCAAACGTCATTTTCAGGCTGGTTTTGTGACTTATGAGCTAAACATTGTACCTGCGGCACATTGTGTATTAATGGTGCTCGTTAAGAGAAAACTTACTGCTTATCCAGTGTTCAACTGCTGCCATCCCAGTGGACAGGAAACACAGGTCATTGTCATCATCAGGCTCGAGCAAAATATACAGCTGCAAATCAACAGCGTAACTATGAAAATTAAGTTTATGTTCCCGAATAATGTGACCTAAAAGGAGCATATACAGAGAAAAAGGAAGGGGACCAAGACAACTTCCCTGAGCAACACCAAAAGGCAAGTCATATTTACCTGATGTATGATCTCCAGGAGTCACGAAAAATGCTGTCCTTGAGATGTGTGATCCGAACCAGATTAGAACAGTCTGGAAGAGCATAGCCCAGTTCTCAAGGCGAATAAGAATATTGTGGTCAATTATGTCGAACGCAGCACCTACATCCGAAAGAATATGAACATAGATTTTATTGACAACAATACTCTGTACCGCGGTTAGCCCGTAAACCTGACTGAAACATTTCAAGAATGTTGTTTTCACTCAGAAACTATTAAGCTGATTAAAATGAGTTTTTCAAGTATCTTGTTTAAAAGAGAAAGATCTGATATAGGTCTATAATTACTTAAAACTTCACTGTCAAGGTTTGGCTTTTTCAGTCGGGGTTTTACAGCTGCAGTTTTTGTTTTTATGTGGTTTTATGTTTTAGTACTACACAACACACAAAGAAGCATGACATGGAGTCATACGCGGATAGAAAAAAGATTTGTGATTTGCTGATTTGTTTGAATTATTTTTTAAAAGACTCCAAACGTGACCCATGTTTCCTCCCTCAGGGCTGGTTTGCTGGCAGGAATCTGGCTGTCTCCCAGGTAACCACCAAGTACTTCCTGTGGGTGGACGATGACTTTGTGTTTAGGGAGGAGACAAAGATCGAGAAGCTGGTGGAGGTGATGGAGGCCGTCCCTGAACTGGACGTGGTGAGAATTAAATGACTCATGTCTGATGGATCAGCTTGTGTCGATTATTTCAAGTAAGAAGTGTGTTGTTGTTTCTTCAGTCAGGTGTGCGCAGATTGTTTGGTACTCAGCGGAGTTCTTGTAGTCCTGAATAAGGACTTTCTGTCTGAAGTCCACATCATCAGGGAGTCCAGGTGTCTCATTAATAAAACAGTGCACAGGATCCAGACTAAAAGTGTACTTACGGACAAAAGCCAAAAATGGCATGCGCCAAAAAACATTTGACAATTTCTACAATCAGACTCCACCTCACCATGTGTGTCGCCAATTTCCTGTCTGCAAAACATTCATAAACATGGGCCAAAGTTTCTCCCGTCAAATCAGTATTAATAGATCACAACTTTTCGATGGGAAGTAGCGTACGCCTCGTTTTGTGCATAAGCAATGTTTATAAATGAGACTCCTGGAGCTGGAAGACGACTTCTAGACTTGCTTTTCTCAAACAGCATTGTTTGTCCTCTTGCACACCTTTTTTTTTGGTTAACATCTTCAACTGGAACCTGTCCCAGGACGTACTGGAAACAGGCAGGTACACAGCAGACCAGTTTCTAACCAGTTCTCTGGTGTTTGTTCTTTTAGCTGGGTGGAACAGTACAAGGAAACCAGTTTCATTTCTCTCTAATCTATGAGGAAGGAGAGGAAAATGAAGGGGGCTGCCTTTACAGGAAGTCTAAGGGGAAGTTCCACTCACTTCCTGGTTACCCACAATGCTCTCTGGCCGATGGGGTGGTAAACTTCTTCCTGGCTCGTACAGATGCTGTGCAGAGGGTGGGATTTGACCCTAAGCTCCAGAGGGTAGCACACTCAGGTAGGTGTTAACGCCAACAGAGTTTGGAGTCCAAGTGGCAGTACATCCACGTTGTTCAGTTTTTGTTGTTCATTATACGAGCGTGTTGCAGCACCCAACAATTTATTGACCCAAAATAACCAAATAATCAGTTAATTTTCAAGAAAACAATGCAGGAATACAAGAGGTCCTTTATTTTAGTCCAACACTCCAGTGACTCAGTTAGCTTTAGCGCCACATTGTAAATAGCTCTCCATTTAAAGGTGGTGAAATTTTAATGTTTTGTGATGTAAATGTTTTGCCTTTTATTTTATTTTCTGTCGGCTTGTTGACAGACAGCCGGCTAGCTGCATTAACAAGGGGAGACATGGTGCCCACCGCCCACTTTGCGGCCCCCGCTGGTTAGCTAACGTTAGCCTTGCCAGCTCCCCAGCCAACATGTCTATGTGGGGCCCGTGTGGGTTGTAAATGGGCTGGAAAAGTTACCCTATATGGGATTGTCCACTGGTTCTTCAGTGGCCCCAATGTGCATTGCCCACATTGTTGATTTTACCCAAGTGGGCTCCAGATAAGATCCCATGTTAGGCCCATAGCCCTAGCATTACCCATGCGTGGCTCATATGGTTAAACCCATCCATGTGGGCAACTGGCATGGGGCCATTATTGAACCCATCATCAATCCTATGTAGGGCCCATTTTCAGCCCATTTACTACCCACATGGGAGGTAGCCAGAGGTGCTGCTCACACAGCAATTACTGGTGTTGCTGCAGAAACTGCTGGTCTCCCCTCAGGTAGCCCCCGTGTATAAACAGCTTCATCTTGTGCTGCAGCATTGTTAACAGTGTTAGCGCCACTAGCTGCTAACGGTGCTAACAGAGCTATCAGTGATAACATAGCTAACAGTGGTAAAGTGTTTGAAATTAAGCTGCTTACTCACCGGGATGACGTGAGAGAAGACCAGTCGGTGGCCAACACTGTCACGGTTACCAGCGTACTTGCCAAATGAGCGGTGCCACCATCACATTTTGGGTTTACTGCACCTTCTACTTCATTCTACTGAACTCAGACCTGTTGTCCTCGTCCATGGACACTTTGATTGTGCCATCTAGTGGCAATAAGAGTACAATACACTAATCCATGTAAAAACAAGATGGCAGCCATCTCTGCCAAGTCAGTCTGCAGCTGATCCTGATCCTCCACAAAAGTGGACAGACCTGATCTCATCTTATGGTTGAAAGTTCTTTATTCATGATTAATAATGTGTGTACTTTGATATGGCAACAAATTTGACCAATTTTAGCAACAGTAACAATCGGAGATACTGTTAATAAGGAAGTACTCGTTCCTCGAGGACTTTGGGACTTGATTATCATTGACGGCGTTTAGGTTTTTATACTTATTGGGTGGTACTGATCCCAGATAGCTCGGAGAAATAAAAAATGCATACCAAACAAAAGTTCAGGTCTCAGGAGGTTAATGCTGGGTTCACACAGAACGTGATGCGAGTGTTTCATGCAGTGAGATTAAACACAAAGTCAATGCAAAGATGTGAATAGATGAGTGATGGAATTGGCGTGATTGATGCAACTGACATTAATTGCACAATGCATTCCTTGCAAGTTGAAATTCTTCAACCTGAGTGAGAAATTGGTGCGACGCTGGAGGATAAGGTTATTGTAGTGGTCTGGGGGCAAATTCTGAGAATATGAGTTTGTTTCTTGATTTCAGCTATAGGTCATACTTTACTGTCAGCCAAGGTTCACTCCTCCAGCATATTCATATCTGGCATATACACCCCTCCTCCTTCCTGGTGCATCTCACGCGTTTAATGCAAGTAAACATAAATGACCCTGTGATCAAACTTGCAACATCCCACGTTCAGATTCCAGTGTGACAATTTGCATCGCCTTTGGTGTGAACGCACCTTAATGACTGTAACAGTAACACACACACAACCGCTCCTGCGGCTATTGATACAAGCAGGCTTCTTTCTGAAAGGATGAATGTCTGTCTCTGTCTCCAGAGTTCTTTATGGACGGCCTGGGCTCCCTGCTGGTCGCCACGTGTGGCCACGTGTCCATTGGCCATCAGCCCAAAACAAACAACAATAAGGACGCGACTCGCTACAAAAGCTTCAGACACCCGTCAAGTAGTGACAGTGAGTTCAAACTGCAGCTTCACTTCTTCAAAAACAACCTCAAGTGTATCCGATATGGATAGAAGACCACCAGAGGACACCGAGCCGCACTTTTCCCTCAACTTGTTCAAATGAATGTATTTTATATTTCTTTTCTTTCTTTATTGTTTTAATTGGTTTAATGGTTTTTTTGGTCAGTTGTTTTTAGTGTAAGTAAGGGTAATATATTCTGAATATTCTGACTATATGTTCAGTAAGTGACATGCAGACTGTGAGTAAACTCAAGTTACTGATAGGGACAAGTTTTGCACTGCTGTTATAAACAGAATAAACTGTGCTCAGGATTTTATGTCATTTTTTAAGGGGGTTTGGATGTATCTATGGTACGTTACTACAGTAGTATTATCAGTTAGATATTCTGAACAAAAGACTCTGAAACTAGATCCTGCTTCACACCAAAGAAAAGCTAAGTGAAGAACTCTGAACTGTCTGTGAGTCAGTCTGGTGCCGATGTTTCTGTGAGGAGCTGATCTGAATGTGTGAATGAATGTTTTCAAAGAATTTAAACATTTTCAGTTGATGAAGCTCAGCGTAAGTTCAATCATGAAAACTTTCTTTATGCCATATCCTGTAACAGTTCTCTCTCCATCTGACTCCCAACGCTTCCACCCATCAGCAGACTGTGGGCGTTCCCTCTCCTGGTTAGCCAGTCAGATTTTACCACCATCTCCTTCTGCCAACAGCCTTTGGCGTCTTCATGAGACGCAGCAGGCTTTCAGCTAACTCTAATGTGAAACCCATTTGTGCCAATACTTGACATTAAAAGCGGCTGACGTACTATAAAAAGCAAGAAAGTGCACGTAGGGTGTGAGGGAGGGGAGGTGGATGTCACTCAGCAGACTGCGTCAGTGATTTCGATGTCAGACATCTGAAGCCAAAGGCCACTTTTGGTGGTGGTATAATTCACCATCAGGCAGCGTCAGTTTGTAACACAGCCGGACGTAACTTTACGGTATGCCGCCAGGTGGCTGGGCAGCACCTGTCGTGGCAGTATGATACGCAGACTGGCAGTATCAGCTCATCACGTGGTTGGTAACTTCCACAGTGCAATGAAACGCTGCTCGTAATGCTGCCATTAACAACGTAATATAAGGAGCTGGAAAGTCCCTGCAGGGCGGATGGGAGGGGTGGTGGATGGGTCCTGTAAGAGCCATATTGATATTAGTAAGAAGAGTATGGTAGTTTTACTTTAACAATGTGGAAATGCTCCTTTAAGTCATGCTTTTGATGATGTCACAGTCAAACAGCAACAGAGTTTTTTGACGGTGTGCCTAGCTGAGCCAATTAAGATTGAATCTTGTAGCTTTGTTTTTTGATTTTTTAATTAAAGTTTTCAAACGGAGTTACTGCCTTGGAAGATTCATTTCATGTCAAGTTTATTGCCAACGGACTGCTTAATAGTGGTGGTAATGTGGAGTAGGCCTACTGGATGGATGAAAGATTGCCGCTACAGGTCCAACAAACTCTGGACTAAAATCCAGGGGCCCGGTATCCCAGACAGCAGGCATCTCTAATGCTCTCTATAACCCTATTCAGACGGGATTAGTTTAGACTTTTACCTTCTGGAAAACAGTCCGGAGAAAATACCTCGGGTAATATTAACCCTGTGCCAACGCGATCCTCTGTAAAAATGTGTGTAAATATTTCGTCATCTCCTGTTTACAACCATTTTTCTATGTTAACAACTAGTTTCCGCGTTTTTTCAATGACGGAGGCGCTTGATGAAGCATTCGCTGCTGTCGGCAGTCATGATAGTGGACATTCTTCTAATGATGGCACAGCCCTGCGTTGGACACCAATCAAAAAGGTCGAGCACTTGTCAGAGCCACAAGACTTCTGGTTGTGTTAGGTAGGCCTAATATAATCGGTATTAACATATTGCTAATACACACAATCCTGATCATGGGCAACATTTCATATTGGGCTAATCATTAATTATTATTATCCTTCAGCTGATGCTTTCAGGAAGTAACGTAGCACGCACATGCCGACAGGGAGGTGACGCCAGGGCACAAACTGAGTTACCACTCCCATCTCTGGTAGAATTACAGAGATTTCTTATTCCATGCGAATCAGACATTTATATTACAGACATCCTGTGGTAAACTGACATGAGTCCACATCCCTATGTAAAACTAACCCCGCCCAAAACGTATTTCCTGATGCACACAGGTCATAAACCCATATGGATCTAACAACGTCTCAGTGGAAACTGTTGACAAATACAAACGTCATAGTGCTTTCTATCCAGAAACACCGCAGCTCGTCTGTTTACAGGCATTTCTTGCCCTCTCCAATATGTTGCTGTAGGATCCAGCAGCCTATAAGATATCATGTTTATATATCTGTGATTAACATCACTGTGATAACACACTGTACATTTCTTTACTGCAAATAAAATGAATACATATATTTATTCATGGTGTGAAAACATATAAAACTTAATGTATTTCCTTGTTTGGTGTAAATCGAGACAACGTGGTCATTTCTGTACTTTGTCACCTTCATTAAATGTTGAAACTCAGTTAGTGTCGGTGCTTCTGTATCTTTCCAGGCTCAGTTCTCTCAGGTTCAAGGTCCATGACTGTGTTAACACAGATTGTTTTATGATGAGAACAATATAATGTACAGACGCTCACAGATAACGATTTAAGAGCGTGAATGTGTTTTTTTTCAGGCTGTGAAGTGAGTTTACTGGAAAAGACAATAAAGATACTTTGGACGCTACCCAGATAGCACACATACTGTACATCTGGCCGACGGCCTGAGGACGACACATCAGCCCTAATTTATAACATCTGACAACGCACGGGCGGATAGCTTTAAATTTAATACTCTTTTGTCCCAGCTCATCAAACGTCTCTGTTACGTCGGCTTTGGGTCGGCCCATACCTGCCCACATATGGAAGTCATCACAGAGGCGGAATTTCATCTCTGCGGTCTTTGTTTGGAATTGAGCTCGTGGGACGCAGCATCTCATTGCAGTTGGTTTCAGGTAAGCTAACTGGAATAAACTGGCAGAAAATAGCTTTGTTGTTTCTTCTGTGACCGTTAAAAGAGGATCCTGATGAGTGGCGAGGCACGACTGGGTGTATATAGCTTACGTCCCCACCAGCTAACGTTATCTTTCGTTAGCTGATAGCTAGTTTAGCGGTTTAGCTCATGTTAGCTAACAGGCTACAACTGTGGTGTTTTCATTTTATTTTCCCTAGTTGACGTTATCTGCTCATCTGGTTATCGTGAGCACTTGTTTTGGGTTAAAGTGGAAGTGCCCGGAGCTGCCACTCACCTATGGTCCCGCCCGGCCTGACCTCCACAGCCTGGACGGATGCTCAAGTGTGGGTGAGAGGAGCGGAGAGGAGCGCGGAGGTCAAATAGTGAAGTTCAATGATGCCTTCAGTATGTTGGTAATGTGATTTTATGGGCAATGTATCAGTCAGGTCTCCTCCTCTGCAAAGCAAACTGACCTGGTGGCTACAGGTAATAGCGCAGTTTTGAAACCACTGTTTTTCCGAAATGAAGGACTGATTGTTGAGCTGCTGTTAACAGTTAACGGAGTTAACGCCGGATCCTGTTATTTAACCGTTTCCACAGTAAATGAAGCAGAGTGACGGACCCAAAGCCTTCAATCTGGCTAAAAGACAGCTGAAATGCTAAAAAAAAAAATACAGTGGTGAAGTTGGGATTTGTTTCTTGAAGTTACGTGCTCATCGTCTTTTCTGTGTCTTGCAGGCTGCCAGGAGAAGCGGACTGGCCGTCAGATATTGTTTGTGGAAATTTGAAAATAAAGTTTGTCAAATTGACTTTTGTCTCTTCATTGTGCACACTTACACACGAAATAGGGTAACAGTCAGCTATTGAATGTTAGCATTGATTTCTCACATTGGATGGTGAAATATTTGTAGTTTGAAAGGTCCGACCTAAATGAATAAAGGTCGTAGTTAACGAAGCATATGCGCCCACTGAGCGCAGCTTCTGTTATTGATCGTTTGAACGTTGTGTGCTGGTCATTTTCGATCACAGCGACGTATTGGCAATGATCAAATGCTCTCCCTGCTACGTCTTAACGATCTAAACTTGATACATCGGGCCGACGTCGGCCAGGTGAATGTGTGCTGTCTGGGTAAAAGTGTGAACACTTATTTTGTGCTGTGTAGGCAGGTGAAACAATGAGGCAGCTGCAGGAGACATGATGTCAGCAGACACCACGTGAAATGATATTAAAAGAACTTTAATTTCTGTTCTTGCACAAAATATATAAATTCAAGCATTTTCAATGAGCCAGGTCTTCCTCACGACAGCAACTATAATAAGGCTTATTTGTACAGCACTCATAAAATCAACATTGAAGTGCTTTACACATAAAATCACAACAATCAAATCCACAGACATACGCTGAATCAGACCTGTAAGATTAACGGATAATTAAAAACCATGAGTACAACACAAAGGGGCGGCACGGTGGAGTGGTGGTTAGCACTGCTGCCTCATAGCAAAAGACAAAGGCCCATTCCCAAACCACTCCCTACCCACTACCACTTCACTACCGAGTGTCACTCCAAATCAAGTTACACTCGCAGCTGCGGAGGGCACTCCTGATTAAGGGGAAGTGTATGAAAGAGAAGCCAAACCATGGGACGCCCTCACCACTCTACCGGAAGAAGGAAGCAGATGTAACCATGGATACAGACAGATGCTTTGTGAAAGCAAAATAGAGCAAAGGGCTATTAAAAAAAAACATTTAAATATTAATTAAAATGAGTTAAATTTAAAAAAAAACTTTAATAAGTCAGATAAGAGATACAGTGCAGTGTAATCAAAGTAATTAACTTGTTCATATTTTATAGACACAGTTTACACATTCACAGATGAACTTTATTAATGAATCTGGGCAATCTCACCTCCATCCCTGCTTTGCAGCATTCCTCTTTTTAGTAAAGAGACTCATTTTTAATCCGTAGATCGATTAACTGCTTTGTTTTTTCTTCTGTCCCTGTGAACACATAATTATATATTTTTTAAAAATCATGAGAATGGGATGAGGAATTTTTTAGACAGTTTTAAATAGTTCATTTAAGCATATGGACGTGGAGGTTTTCATCTTTTGACACCAAACATTCTGTGAGTTTGTTTGAGACTCTAAAGTCAGTGTGAGGAAAACAAATGTGTGTGTTTGATCTAAAATATTTTACAAAGTAGAAAGACGGAACTGTTACATTTGTACGTTGTTTCCTCCATTGTGATGTTGCGCTTCCTGCTGGGCTCATCAGAAGCCTGCACTGATGCACACTCGCTATCTAAGGGCTGAGCAGTCCACTCGCACTCAGCGATCATTGGTTTGGGACAGCGAAGCTCAGCGTGACCGCGCAAACGGAGGGGGAGTGAATAGTTCGAGGGGATAGGGGCCGGTTTGGGATTGGGCCAAAATGTGAAATCAAGGTTGGAGCTTTAGACACTGTTGATTCGGAGTCCTCCTCACACTCCGGCCCAGCAGGGGGCGGTGTGCTCCTTAAGGAGGAGAAGAAGAAGAGTGTTTCCGGTTCAGTCAGCTGACGGTCCAAACAGTGATGGCGGACAGAGGAGCAGAAGGATCCGGTAAACCCGCACTGACAGCGGCTCAGAGGCAGCTGCTCCGCCGCCGACAGGAGCTCGACTCCTGGAGGAGAAACGCGTCGCGGCTGCGCAGTAGGAACCTGCTGACGGGACTGGGCATCGGAGCGTTTGTGGTCGCGATGTGTATCCTTCAGTGTGTGTGAGAGGAGCTGCTGCCTTTCATCCACAGTGTGTGTGTGTGTGTGTGTGTGTGTGTGTGTGTGTGTGTGTTAGGAAAAACAAACAAACAAAAAACTCAGTAAATAAAACATGGCGCCACCTGGGTCCGTTTCACATCACAGTCCATCATTTATATCCATAACCTCATCCGTCGTGACGTAACCAACGTCACCAACCGTGGACGTGCACTTTGATCTGCCCAGATTCTTTGTGTTGCTCTAGTTTTCTGTATAATATCGGAGATGCAGAAAATATCAGTGCGGCCACTGTCTGCAGAGCCGCGAGGAAAGTGTCTGTAGCTCTGAAACGTCTATGAAACTCTTCTGTTGTGTTCCTGGACAAAAACCTGTGAGGGTCATCAAGGAGGAGCTCCACAGGATTGCAGGTGAATGATGCAGAAATCAGTTCAAATGTATGATTATAAATCATATTCAGTGAATGACATGGTGCTGCAACCTCAGACTGGGATTAGTCATTTTAATTTCTTTTAGGATTTCCCGGTGTGATAGGGTGCACTGATGGAACCCACATTCCCATCATTGCTCCTTCACACAATGAAGGAGACCATGT